AGTACAGCCGTTTTGGATAATGGATGACATAGCCTTCATTGTCGTTCGTGTAAAGGTAATATCGTTAGACATAATATATGAAATTTAATCATTGTGATTTGCTCAAATTCCCTCTATTCTTGAACCTTCTGGTCTTTTCAGATCCGATGAGAAACGTCCTGAAGGGATTTCTCAAATTTCTTGGAAGAGTGGCCAATTATTGGTCGGAGATTACTAGTGTATTGATCCTCTGGCACCATCCAATTAAACCCTTAACATTCTTGAGAAAAAGCAGTCTCTTAAAATATCTAAATATTCCGAAATTTCTCAAGAATACATATTCATTCCCATTCCACAACCCTTACAACTTTTGGGAAATGTGCGTAATTTTTTTTCAAGTAACTTGGCTCTCAAATACGCAAACTTATTGATGAACCTCGCGAAGGCTTCTTGTTAAAACAAATACTCGCCATAGCGATTCACAAGGCTAATTACATTAGCTTCATAGGCTGCCTCATCCCACAAGATGATTTTCAATACTTTTTATGCCCGATCTCCTCCCTCCCCCCCCCCACCTCCCCTCTTTATTTCGCTTTTTTTATATGCATAATTATTATATATATATTTTTTTTTATTAATATGATGTTATGATAATTTGGAATAGTTTTTATATTATATATTATATATTTTCCATACTTTTTTAAAATAAAAATTTTTTTTTTAAAAGCAATAATTAATGTTTAATATTTGTAATTATATTATTGAAAATATATTAAGATTATTAGAGTTGTATAAAAGGTATCTGTATCTTAATACTATTTCAGAGTTATCTATATCTGTTATAAATAATTTTAAGATAGATACATTTTGATATACTTTTATTTAACGCTTTTTTTCTAAAAAATAAAAATATTTAATTGCAAATTTGTTCTCATGTGTATGAGCATATAATTTAAATAAATATATATTTTAGAATATTAAGACTATAATAAATACATATATATGTTGTAATTTTTAAAGGGATCACTATTCAGGATCATCAAGGGTATCAAAAGGATAACTAAAAAATTAGGGTTTGAAGTTAAAGAATGATAATACGGTATTATCACGTTTTAACTTTGATAAAGAGGAATCTTATTTTTAAAAACGTATTATGCGCCTTTCCTTTTAATTTTATTGTTATTTATTAATTTTCAATGTTGTTTTTTGGCCTTATGAAATAAGATATGTCTAATTGAGGGTAACAATCGATAAATCAAAAGATCTATTTAACCCCCCTTAATAAGCGAATCTAGGTATGGGGGTGGGGGGTCAGGAATATTTTTATCAAAACAAAATATAATATGGGTATCAAATAAAAGGTAATTAAAAATATCTTTTGATTGTAATAATTATTACTCTAAGTGGGCGGGTCTAGTTTGAGGGGGAGGGGGGGAGGGGTGTTAGGAATATTTTTCATCATAAAATATCGATATGGGTACCAAATAAAAGTTAAAAGTATCCTTTGATTAAAGTATTTATTCTTGGATAGTAATAATAATAATCACTTTAAGCGTATGGTCTAGGTCTTGGTAGGTTAGGAATATTTTTATCAACACAAAATATTGATATAGGTATCATATAAAAGCTAATTTAAATATCTTTTGACCGAAAGCATTTATTCTTGGCCTTGATGAGTAAGATTTGGTCTGGTGCAGGGTGAGTAGGAGGAGGGGTAAAAAATTTTTTGATATGGGTATCAAATAACAGGTAATTAAACTTTTTGATTGTAATAATAATTAAACTCTAAGCATCAGATCTTGGAGGCTCAGGAAATTTTTTATCAACACAAAATATTAAATAAAAATGATATATCAAATTTATGCCCCAAAAATATTGAAGTCCAAATTATCCAAATGGAGGGCGAGAAACTATGGGTTGGAACTAATTTGGGAAAAATTGATTCCCCATTTTAAAAAAAAACGTTCATAAATCAATAGAATTTAATAATTTAACCATTCCTAATAAGACCATCTCCATAAAGCATCAAGAAGTGCATCTTCTTATGGTAATTATAAATCAAATTGCAATTGCCAAAAATGTTGTAACAATAAGAGATATTGCATTAATTGTTCCACAGAATGTCACTTGATTTGAATTCATAAAAATATATATTATAAAAGATTATGTCGGGAATATTTTTGTGGTATTTCTTATATTATATATCATTCTTACTTTACACGTGCATTTTTTTTCACAAAATATGATAAAATGTGAGGCTTTTATTATATAAAAGATTTTTAGGGTGAATACAGAGTAAAAAATTTAAATTAACTGGTGTGATATTATAAATTCCATATTTCTTATTATTCTGAATCCTGGTTCAAAGATTCACTGAACCAGAAACACCTTTTATAGAACGAGTGTTCTCAGCCATGGTATATTCATTTTTGTGGAGGAGTGAAGTGCATGGTGATAAATTTTGTTAGCAAAATTATATTTGAGAAAACTGACAAATTTCTGACCCCCCCCCCCTCCCAAATAGACCATAATATCACCTAAGGGATGGAAAGTTACCGATCTTTTATTTTTATACAAAAATATGTTTGATTGAATAAAATATTTAAATATTTATTTTAAAAAAACATAGTTTTTGTAACAATCAATATTTTAGAAAAATGTTTTTTTAATCAATGATATAATTCTATATTTATTTTAATATTCTCGTATTTCAAATGTATGGACAATCCAATAGATCATAATGAGGAACAAAATAATCTCAGTATAAATGAACATGTTAAACACATTACCTCACATGACGTTCATGAAATAGCTCATAATCTAGAGGGTAAAATACCTTTAGGCATAGCAGTCGCCGCAGGACCACCATTTGCCGGTGCACATAATCCATGGGCAAAACCTAGTAATATTACCGATTATGATTTAAAGGAAAATTTAGCAAGCTCCAATAAGCTTAAACCTTCCCTAGTATGCAAGGAATTAAAGTGGAATCAAAAAGTGGGTAAGGATCTATTAGAAAAGACGGCCTTCCAAAGGGAAATGGTTAAAAGAGATATTAGAAAACATGAAAATGCAAAGCAGAAAAAATTAAAAGAACCCCTTAGCGTTCCGGCTGAACTTCAATCTAAATTGAGTCAACAAGCATTGAAGATTACTAACTCTATCCACCAGGAGTTATCTTATGCAAAGAAGATTGAAAATAAAGAAAGTCTCGTGAAATCAATGATTAATAAACTTTCACCTAAATAACATTAATTTATTATTCATAATTCATACAAAAAATTTAATATAGAAACCTAAGACATTCGTGTTCTATAACAGAAAATAAAAAATTTGAATAGCAACAAGACATTAAATATTGCAAGAAAGAGTCAAAGATAAAAATATGATAACACCCTAATTAAAAAATCTCATTCTGGTTATTTATTTATTTGTTACTATTGTATTTTGTTTCTAATTGAAGATTATCCAAATAGGTTTTAATAGTAGAAATTGTATTCTGAATTTCCTATTCATTTTAAGATTGTTAATACTTCATTAGTGGGTTGGCAATATATTTTTTCTCACCTTCATATTCTTAATGAGGAGACAAGAAAATGGTTTAATGTTTAGAATCCAGGCCGAACTTTAAAATCTTCAAATTACGGACCGGAATTAAAAATGTTTTTTCCCCACATCCAAAAGGGGCCTAAAATTTTGATATTTGCAGGTCTCTGATAAATACTATAATAAATTTATATCTTATAGTTACTTCCCTGGCTGCAACTTTAATTATTTTGGCATTCTATTTTATATAATCCAGAACTATCATTAAATTTACATAAAATAGCAATATGATTCGTTAAACCGGGAATCATAAATGAAAGTTCCCAGAAAACTTTTAGAAATTGACTTTTTTTGTTTACAATATCATTCTCATAGATATCATAACTTTCAATATGTGTAGTTAAATAGTCAAATTTTTAGAGGATTCGTTAAAAACGGAGCTCTAGCGGTTCAATGAACAAACTGTATGAGCCGACTTGTGGGCCAGACTACTGGACTAAAGCTACAGCCTAGGAAAAAATGAGGTGTTTTGTCAAGCCATAGACACCGATTAAAAGAATACGTCATCTGTAAATAAATAGATTAATAAATATACTTGTAAATTTTAGAAAAAGTTAAAGCTTTTTAGGAATTTCATATTATAATTCCTGATTTAACCAATCATTGTGTTTCAGGGTTATAGAAATAACTTTATAATAATTGAAGCAACTAAATTTGCAGAGAAAGGATTAACCAGAATGATATTTTGCCTTAAGTTTAACAAATTTTCATTTTTGATGCTTGAATATTATATATTCGTTACAAATGGTTGAGATAATATTTGTATAAATAATTAAATTAATAAGGGAATAATATTCTACTTGCTCATATTTTTTAAACTCTTTTGAACCTCAAATTAAAAAAGCAAAAGTATTTAAAAAAAACAAATAAGAGTAAAAGATAATATGAGATCCCATTACCTATAAATATTAATTATAATACGATTAAATCAAACATAAAAGTATAAATATACAAGTGAGATCATATATATATTTTCATAATTATGATATCTTTTCAGTATTAATTTATTAGCAAATGTCATTGTAGATGACTGAATAAGAAATCAAATATGATAGTTTTAATCAGATTTCTATAAAGTTAATTGAAAACGGAGATTGAATAACTGAGAACTATATTTAACGAATTATCTATTATTTTAGTATGAAGAAATAAGATTTCTTAATATGTTTCTAACAAACTTATAAAACATATTTCAATATATACATATACAAATAAGAAATTTTATATCTTGATTGTTTTATTTAAAAAATTTTTTTTTTATTTTGGTAGATGTGTGAATTCCTTTTTATAATAAAATATATAACAAATAAATTATACATAAATAAATAATAATATATAAATGCGAGGTCTGTTTATATATAAATAAATTATTTCCTAAGATCAATTATTTTATTTGCAAATGCCATCCATAATTATTTTCGATAAATTTAATAAATACGAAAAAATAAAAAAAATGCTGCTCAGGAAGTGTCAATCATTAAAATTAAACCGGTTTTTCTAAAAGGGGTGCATTTACCGCAATAACCACCACATATCCCATATATTCTAGTATAATTCTGGAAAAAAGAAAATAGTATATATATATAATGTAATTATGGTCCAACCAAAGAAAATTGACTGTATAACATCTGATTTATTAATATTTTTATTTATTTATAATCACTGACTTGTTAGATTCGATAAGTTATTTATACAAATAATTAAATTTTATTAAAAACCATTATAACTTTTAATTAGCCCTGACCCTAGACTTGTTTAATTTAAAATATATTTCATCTAATTAAAAAAAATCTACTATAGAACATTCCTTAAGTTGAGCTATTATCATAAAATGTGATATATATTTTTAAATAAAAAAACTTTTTCAATGAGTATTTTAACAGAGGCGCGGTTCCCGTATTTATTCCAATGCGTTTTATTAGAAACGGCAAAACCAGTTCCATTAAGATCAATGCTAAATGATCCCTATAATTTTTTTTTATATAGAATTTAAAATTTGTCATAAATAATAAAACCTGAGGGCAATATGATAAACTAAAGCAATCTCCGGCGGTCGCGTAAGGTACGAAATTGTCATTAATTCGCTTTGAAAAGGTATAATCGTCTCCTTTTAAATATATTACATATAGTAATTCATCGAAATTCGTTTATTTTTTTAACCTGTGACTTTTAGCGAGGATGGATCAAATCTAATTTTAGTGAATGACGTTTTGCCAATGTAATTATTGTTTGTAATGGGAACACATTCTCTACAATAGAACATGCTGTTCATTTTAGTCGAACGTGAAATTGCATGAATCCCCGTTTGAGATTCGTTTATACATTTATTTGGGAATTTAAGTCTTCATGATTTAAAATATATTTTAAAATTTAAAAATGTTAGCATTTAATTTAATTTGAAAATTTTATTTCATTCTTAACTTTAACAGTAGGCATTACCAAGGGTATGAATGGAAGTCATATTTAAGAGCCTCGTATTAAACATAATATTTACTTAGACAAACGTGGTTTGATACAAATCACATAAAATAATGTAATCATATATTTGTTTACAATTCTCTAAATAAGTGTAATTTAAAACACTAATGTCTTTCATTAAGAACATATTTTGCTTTATAAATAACACACGAGTACTGAAAGGCAATGAATTATATTCTATAATGATTTTTAAAATTTTTGCAAAAGTATCAAAATATTAGTGTATTAGCATTTTGAACCCCCCCCCCCCTCCCCAACCCCTCCAGTTTTAATTTCATCTAGCTTATCAACGGAATTCGAATATAGATCTGAATGATTAATTGGTTTTCCAAATGAGTAATAAGTCTGGCTTAACAGACTATTCTCTTGCAAATTAATGTAGAATAAGTTACTCTTGAATCTTGGGTATCATTGCTGCAATAATATTGCCGTGCTCGTAATCTTTTATCAATACCCTTAAGAAGGCAGTCTAGGGGGGTGACAATATTGTAAACTAAACTTGCCCAATCTGTTAGGATTTATATAAACGGGATTAGATCCTGGGCTATTTTATCCTCTCTTTCAAAATTTTTGATGACGCTACTAAGGCTTCTTAATCTATATCCATTGATAAATAAACATCCCTCTTATCTAAACATCGAGCAGATTTCTTCCACTTACTTCTCGGGAAGCAACCTATTCTTATCCATCAATGTAGTTTTATGAATTCTAAAAGGTTTTATTAAGGGATATAAGATACCTTCCCAATTCCCTTAAGAGAATATCTGCTATCTTATACATATTCTGTATGTTAACCTTGACCATTTAATTTTTAAAAAAATCATTTTTCCGCTTTTCATGCATCGTTCGTTGCATTAAGGCTTAGCTTATGGCAAGAGCAGCTTGGCTTTAGTAGATTAATCGTCAGTCAACCTTCTACGGGAGAAAAAGAAAAAGGTAAGATTCATAAGCAATTTATTTAAACCAAAAATAATTATAAATATGCGTGGTTGAGTTGTTAAAAGATACTTATCAAATATTGCTAGATGCAAATGCGAGACCTAAAAAGGTATCCAGATGCAGATATCATTTTTAGAAATTAGGAATTTTGCAAGTCAATTTTTAAAGTATCACTAAATTTTTTTAATTTCTTTATTATTGAATTGATTTGAGCACCATTGTAAAAGATAAAAAACATTTGAATCTAAATAAAAAACAGATGATAGATTAAATAATGAAGGGTATGAAGTTTGAAACAAAATAACAAAATTTATGTTTTACTTTAATCATCTCCATTAATTATAAAATAATAAATTATAAAGTAAAAACATATTAAATTAACATTATAAAAGATTATAGTAAAAACTTGTATAAAAATAAAAACTAAAAAAAAATTCTTTTCAAAAATTGAAAAGTATCATTATATCTGTTGTAGATATTAATAATATATGTATATTTAGATAAAATATAATATTATATATATAAAATGTCAATCATATGTTTTATTGATTGTGGAATTAGGAATATATTATTGATTCATTCATTGATGATTATTGATTCGTGATGAAATTTTTCTTTTGTTTTTAATAAATTCGAATAAAATACAGTGTGTAAATTATGTCTCCAACTATTAATTAAATGATACAATTATTAAATTGGTACCATGACGATGGTAAAAAAACAGATTCATATTATAAGTGGATTGAATATGAAGATGTTAATGGGTTAACAACCAAAGTTGTTATCAAAATATTAAAAAAAATTGTGGTCCAAATTCGGTATTCCTAAAACCATTGTGTCAGATGGGGGTCCAGCATTTATTGAAAATTTTAAACATTTTTGTATCTCATTGCAAATAAAACATATGTTGGCTCCGACATATCATCCTAGTTCTAATGGTCAGGCGGAAAGAATGGTAGCCATAGTGAAAAATTGGATAAAAAAAACTAAATAGAAAAAACTGAGATTTGGATGGCTCAGTTATATTATAATAATTCTAAAAATAAGGAGGGTTTTACTCCTGTGGAATTGTTTTTTTTTAGGTCGAAAGACCAGATTACCTTTAGATTTTCTTAAATCAAAGGGAAGTGTTAGTATATTACCATGTGATAAAAATAACATAAAATTTCCTGTGGGACAAATGATCTGGGCTAGAATATTTGAGAATAAGAAAAAAAAATGGGAAAAGGGTTGCATTGTAGAAAATTTAGGAAACAAATTAAATTGTGTGGAGTTTATAGACGGAATTAAGGGAATCCGTCATAACGATCAATCGAAAATACGTAGATAAAGATATACTAATATTTTCAGATTGATGTTATTCCCAAAATTAATGTATTATAAAATTGTGGTTATTCCAAAAACAATGTATTCTAAAATTAAGGTATTCTCAGATTTATGTTATTCTAAAAGTAATGTTGAACCAAAACTAAGGTGATTATAAAATTAATATGTCCTTAGAATTATGTGAATATTAGTCTAATTATAAGATTTAACAATATTATGGTAATGATTATTACTCAATTTATCATGATAATGTGATCTGGTTGACTCTTAGTTATTCTGTGACTTACTCAATTTATCATGGTAATGTGATTATGAAACTTAAAGTGATTATCTGAATGTGACTAGGAAACTTAATGTGATCATCTTTATATGATTATATTATTCGATAATTATTTTTATTTTCCAATGATTCAAGTTGAGGTTTGACTTAATAGTGTATTATATGACCAGTTGTTTTTTTTTAAAAAAAAATTTAAATCATGATAATCAAGTTATACATGAAAATTTGTAATTATATAGATGAAAATTGTGTGGTAAATATATAAATTTATTGGTTGAAGATAAATTTATGAAGTGTTGTTTATTAATGAATCTAGTTAAATTGTTTTATTAATAAAATTGTTTTTATTATCTGATAAAAATAAAATGTAAAATAAAAACCAAACGTATGGTGTAAATTTATAAATTTATTTGTTGAAATAAATTTTTATTATATGTGGTGTATCAATCAATGAAGCAAATAAAATGTTTTAATGAATAAAAATAAAATGGTCAATTAAGAACAGACAAAGGTTTGAAATATTTTCTTGTTTATAAGAAAACATGAAATGGTGTATTAGAGAAAAATAAAAGTTTGATTAAAAAAAAAAGAGGTATAAAGCATTATAATTTAAATATATTGTTTTTATTATAAAAAAATTTTTTTTTAAAGTTAATTTAATAAACACTAAGGAACTTCCACTTATTGATAGTGGAGAGTGTTACATAAAGATTTGTGATTCCCAAATCAGTGAAAGGTTTCGAGAGGAAAAAGAAAACACTTAAAACTGAAAGAAAATGTTTCCGGTGTTAAGGGACTGACCACTTGTTGGCAGAATAAGTGCCATCATATTTGTTAAAAAGAAAAATGTATACCTCCAAATTCTATCGTGAGGAATTGGATGGGGATAGTCATCGTTGCTGCTCAAGTGATTATAATGCTAAGATAAAAAAAGAAAAGTTGAGACTGATTAATTATAACAAAATGAACGAATTAGATTCCAGGTGGCAATCGAGTGTGGCCACCCAGGACTTATCAAGGAAATACTCAACAATCAAGCGATTGATTAATGAACTCTATGAAAAAATCTATAAAAAAAGGTGATTCAGATCCAGCAAGTGAATGCAGTACCAGCTACTATATGAGACCTGGTAAAGAGGATCAATGTCTAATTAAAGGCTAAACGAAAGATGGGGAAGAATTTACGGAGCAGAAATGGAAGAAATAAAATTGTTGAAACAAGATGATTAATGAAAAAATTTTGTATGTGATAAATTTTTAATGTGTTTATTTTGTAAATATATGATATACATTTATTTAGTTATACATGTCCTTGGCCTTTTAGGGGTGGACATGTTGTAGATATTAATAATATATGTATACTTAGATAAAATATAATACTATATATAAAAAATGTCAATCATATGTTTTATTGATTGTGGAATTAGGAATATATTATTGATTCATTCATTGATGATTATTGATTCGTAATGAAATATATTTTTCTTTTGTTTTTAATAAATTCGAATAAAATACAGCGTGTAAATTATGTCTCCAACTATTAATTAAATTATACAATTATTAAAATATCCACAAAATCTCAAATATATATTTTTCCTTTAAAATTTACTTCGAAATATCCTCATTTACATAGTCTATAATGTGGAATGAAGTAAAATCGTAATAATTCTTCTTATTTGAATAAGACATTTTTTGTTTAAAACTATTCATCTCAACATTTAACCATTTTATAAAATTCGAATAATTATGTAATAAATATCAGAATTAAGAGAGAAAAAATTAAGAAGAACATTAACACAGCCTACTTTTAATTCATTTATATACTCTAATTAGCTTTCTAAATTTTCAAAATTTATCATTAAATATTTAGTGATATGAAAAATGTTCAGAGGTCAGCAATTCATAATAAAATTTCAAGATTAAAAAAACCTACAGAAAGTGGATTTATTATAGAATCCATTTTTATAAATTTTATTTAAACAATACATTTTCTTCTATTATATTATATAAATATTAATGTTGAGTCTATTATAATCTACTACCCCATGTAAATAGATTGTTTTGTTAATTAAATGAACAGAACTATGATTGGTTCTAACATTAAAAATAACACTTTTAACGAGGCGAGGAAATTATGAGAAAAATTGTCCTTATAATAATGTATAATGATAATTAACAACATTAATAAATTTAAAATCATCTGTCTTGAATAATATAAAAAATTACTACTTATATAAAATTAATATATTCATTCATATTTATTTATCATGCCAGTCTTCCTTGCTACATAACTTTAACTTGATTAATGAAATAAATGGACAATTTGAAGGAAAAATAGATACATTTCGAATATCTATATAATTATTTTAATGCTTTTAAATGGATAATGAAAATTTTTGGACTGGAGACCGTTTATGATTTTGGTGTTTTAGTTGAGTATAAATTACATTTAGCTATCACTATATTATTTATTATACTGATGATTATAAAAAATTTACCATCTAAGATGGTTAAATTAAATTTAGAAGAGGATTTTGATGTTGTAAAAGATTCCCTGTAAAAATTATTATAAACATAAATAGCTTAATAAAAACAACTAAGCCCAATCTCTACTCTTTTTTGTCTATTTCCCTGTAAAAATATATTGTAAATATAATGTCTTAATAAAAAAAACTCAGCCGAACTGGTGGAATCTATATTTTCGTCCATTATCAATCGGATGAGATATAAATTTTTCGCAACTCGGGTCAAAAATGTAATATTTAAATTAATAAATCATTAATTTACAAATTAAAATTCAATTTTAGAAAATAGAACAGGTATTTGTATTCGTATAAAATTAAAAAGGTCATTTTAATACTAAATACCTATTATTTTTTAGCATTTAAATACTTTGTAAAATATTCGAATAAATATAAATAAAAAAAGTATTAAAATTTGGTATTTTAAATCAAAATATTAGCGTTACCGCCCAACCTAGATTATATTCATGTAATGTTTGCATTATCAAAATTAAAAATCCTATTTCCAATATATTTTAAATATAATCAAGATACATTTTTTTAATCATAATCAGGTAATGTATGCATAATGTCAAAATATATTGTTAAACTCGAATTGTGAAGTGAACCAATATTTCATTAGTCACTAATATTAATTATCCAAAAATTATAATATACAAAGATTATTATTAATACCTTTACCATATTTTTGCCACCCATTATTTAAAAATAAAACATGTTTAAATTTAATTGGAAGTAAATAAACTCGGACAGATAAATTTGATACAAAAAAGAGGATTAAATATTTTTCATATTATAAAAAATGTAAAATAAAATTGTATTTAAAATATATCATAGTGTATATATATAGATATTCTTTAATAAAAATGTATCGTTGATATGATAGCGATACAATATTTTTGTATTCAGATAATTAACAACTCTATGAATAATAGATCTAATAAATAAGTTACAAAATAGCATATTTAATAATAATAGAACACAAATAAAAGAACAATAGGTCATGTGAAACGACAAAAAGAAATTTTAAACAGAATCTAAGCCAAACTAAAGTTGGCGATCCCTTTTAAATAATTTAATCGACAAAATTTGCATAATCAAAATAATATCACAAATAGAGTAAAACTGGATTCATAGTAGCGTCGGATTTCGGTTCAATCAAATGTCAATCTCATAAAAAATATAATAAAGACGGAAATGATATGTTACTATGAATCCAGCCTAGATATCAATTAACAGGCAAAATAAAAAGTGAGATACAAATAATAAACACCAATTAACAGTAAAATTAAAATAATAAGCCAGATTGAAGATTCATTTATTAAAAGTGTATATACATTGAAGTCAGTTGTAATCAATGTAAATGGCTGTAGTAGATGCCACTGAAAAATATTTCATCTAAATGGCGTTTTTACATTTCATCTAAATGCAGATCACATTTCGTTCCAATGTATGCACACTTATGCATTTTAATGAATGAATTGTCAGGCAATTGGGTGATAATTGAAAATGGTGTTATTTAATATATTCACTTTTCTTTCTTTTTTTTACACTATTCCTTTCTTTTAATTTTTTATCAAAATTATTATATATTTTAATCAATCACATACCGCATATTAAAAAATTCAGCATAATTTTCTCCCGATATCAAGGTAATATATTCTTTAGGGTTTGATGCATTCATATTGTGGCAATAAATCTATACAAAAATAATAATTTTATTCTTTTAAATATATAAAATTTTTACTTTTCGCAAATTGTCTTGAACTTTCAAGCTATACGTGCCATCAATCGAGATATTCATTTTGTTTTTTAGTTCGAAACATGATTTAAAAATGCCTGATTTCATGATTAAATTAAGTAAAAAAAATATTTTTACAAGTGGTTTGATTGCTTTTACAATTTTTGATAGCCTTTGGCCTCCTTGTGTGTAGACATTTGGAAGCATTTATCAATGTTTTGTGGTAATGCGATAACGAAGTGTTGGTTAATGTGATATTTGATTTATTAGTGCACCAAACTCTTCTAAATTTTAACCCAAAATTGCAACTATAAGTTGTACACTATAAAAAAAAGGTATTATAAAAGCAAAAAAAATTTAAGCAACTTTAGTCCAAGGAGAGGTTTTCCATTTGTATGAATCTGGAAACTGGGTAAAATTAATAGATCTATCACTTGAATATTTAATAAAATTAGGATAAATGGGCAAACATTCCTTCTCGTTTGATAATAAATATTTGTTGCAGGAGCGTGTAATATTCGGCTTAGGCCTATGTTGACATAGTAATTCAGATACTATATTTCCTTTCATATCTATACAATCAACCCTTCGAGTTTCATATATCGCATCGCTTACTCCAGTATTTTTAAGGGAACATTTGTACTTAAAACACTAAAATGTTAAAAGTTATTCAAAATATTTGTTTGTTATACTCTAAATAAAACAACTTATGTCAATGAAAAAAAGTAACTTAACTTGCTCGGTAGACCAGTTATATATTTTCCAATCGTAATAAATGCAAAGATTATTATTGTTGCAATATTTTAGAGTCAGAGGCTTCGTTAAAACATTGATGCATTTTTCGGAATGGATTTTAATACCTCCTAAATAACATATCACTTTTCTTGTCTTAAATCCTATTCCGCAGCTAGATGAACACTAAATTTTTTTACATTAATAAGTTATTAGGATTTCGATCATAATACTCTGGTTAATCCCCCCCCCCCTTCTCATCTTCCCCTTATAATAAACATTAACCAAAAATTCATACATTTAGTAATCACAAGATTATTTAAAAATAAATCTAATCGACGTATACTTTGATTTTTCTTAACATAAAGGATTCTGATTTATATTGCTGAATTCAGGGATTTGAACCGAACCCGAACCCGGAGAAGAAAACCCGGGTTTTTGGAAAAAATCTGAACCCGAACCGAACCTGAACCCCGTTTATAAAATTTTCAAAATCCCAAACCGAACCCGTGAATTTTATTTGAATCCGGGTTCCACTGGGTTCAGTGTATTGTTTAAAGTCATGTCATATATTAAGATTTGTGTAAATACTAGAGTTGTTAAAAGATACTTTTTAAATGGATCTAGATACATATACACTAAAAATTTATCTAGATACAGATATAGCTTCTAAAAAGTTATCTTAATACAGATACAATTTAAAATGTATCTAGGTACAGATACATTTTTTATTATACTCTTAGATAAGGTTTGAATAAACCTAAATTAGGATTCTATTGTGAAAATTCATGAAATGATCTAAAAAATTTATTGACTCGATATCACAAAACAATTATGTTTTAAATATTTAATATATATATTTTTTTTTTTTCTCGATTTTGTATATCATATCATATTATGTTAATATATATATTGATTTTTGTTTTTAAAATTTAAAATAACAATATTTATTTATCAAAATATAACTAAAATAATAATTTTTAGATATTAATATAATATATGATTAATATAAATAATTATTATATATCATTAATAAAATAAAATAATAATTTTTAGATATTAATATAATATATGATTAATATAAATAATTATTATATATCATTAATAAAATAATATAATATATGATTAAAAATAATTATTAGATTTCAGTAATAAAATATTTTCAAAATTTTGGTTTAAGACATCCTCGTTTATCTGTAAAGACATTTTTAGCTATACTAAAAAGTCTTTCAACAGGGGCGCTAGAAGGGATTGTGGTGTTATATTTAACGAATAACATTTTTATATCAGGATATTGTTTAAAAATGATAAAATCTCGGCATTCATTTTTGAAAAAACTATTTAAAATTTGTTGATTATCAGAATTTAAATCATTAACAAGTGGGATATTGAAAAAAATCGGATATTAAATTATTGGTTTTTTTCACAGGTTAATTTGCACTCATTTGAAGACTTTGATAATTCCTCAACTAATCTTTGTATTGTTTTTTTTTATTAAAATTTTCATCCATTTGCAACCATGTCCAATCTAGTTTAAAAAAAGGATGAAGTATAGTTGCCAAAATATTTTCATCTTCAAAAATTGTCTCAATAAACCTAGAATTATTAAATACTGATTAATTTATTAATAATTTACCTATCTTCAATTTAAGTAAGGCATTTAAGAGTGGTAAACAAAATTTTAGGTTTTTGTTTAAAATTTTTCAATTTAATAATGAGCTGGGAAATATGTTTACCGGCGATAGGCACTCCAACAATCTGATGTTGTGCATATTAACGATGGTTCTATTAAACTTTTAATGATTTCTTTCTTTTCATTCTCCCATCTTTGAGAAATTCTAGCAACCACTGTCTGTCTACAAATTATATTTTTTTATGGAGCTAATGTTTTGATCATTTTTATAAATGATGGATTTGCAACAATTGAAAATGGCTGAATGCTATCTATAATAAAATATTAAATCATCTAAATGGTTTAAGTTAAAGTCTGAGGTCTCTTGAAAAAAAATCAATGGACGATGAGCCTAGTCCAATATTTTCTTTAATAGATTTTTTCTCCTTCCCCTTTTTTATTTGGATTAAGAATGTTTAATGTTTTCTCTTAAAATTTAAAATTAAAATTGTAAACATTTATTTAGTATCTATACCCTTAAATGTTTTACAATGTTGCAAGTTGAGGTAATGCTAACTGAAATTTTCATATTTTTTGGACATGGCAAACATTTTACTAACAGATATTTGTTTTCTTTATTTTGAGATATTATTTTAAAATATGGTCTATAAATTGACCATGGAAGAATGTCGTCATTTTCATCATCAATATTAATCTTAAAAATTAATATAATAGAATAAAATAAAATACCAATTCCATTGCAATTAAAAATGGCAAATTCCTTGAGATGGATTATAATATCAGAATTTGCTTGTTATTGATAACTCGGACATAATATTTAATTAATATTTATATATTCTTTTTTATATATAAGTTTTAATATTTTACATATATATATATAATTTTTTAATGTATATATTAATATTAATTTATAAGCTCATATAAAATAAATTTTACACTCATGTATTTTTATTTATAATATAAAAAAGCGTTAAATAAAAGTATATCAAAATGTATCTTAAAAAGTATCTAAAAACATATACAGATACCTCTAAAATAATATCTAGATACAGATACTTTAATCAAAAATTTATCTAGATACAGATACCACATTTTTATATCTAGATACTTGTATCGAGATACCTTAACAACTCTGGTAAATACAAATATTTGTAGAGATTTTATAATATTTTCAAATTTCCAATTAAGTGAAGTGTTTATAAATTTTAAACAACTTAATGCATATATGCCATTTTTAAAACTTATTTAATTTATTCTCAAAAATTCCTATTGGAGTGTTAATAAATTTTAAACAATTAAATTCATTTACGCCATTTTTAATTCTTAACTTATTCTCAATGATTATTAAGAGGAAAATGAAAGTCAACAAGTCAAGTAAAAATTATTATATTGGATATTGTTAATTTAAGGAAATATGTCATTAAATTTTTAAAATTGATACATGACTATGCTTTGTATTTTTAACTATATTTTGCCTATAAATAAAATAAAAAATTTATTTTTTATGCCAAATTTATGTCTAGTTATTATGATTTAAAAAATATAATTTTTTTTTATCAATTCAAAAATTGTTAAACCCGAGCTAAACCCGGGTTCAAAAATATTTTCCTGAACCGAACCCACCTATATTTATTTTACCTTAAACCGAACCCGAACAAATATTTTGCCGGGTTCGCATCTATGGTTGAATTTATTGAAAAGGGTAATAAAGTTACAGAAATATATCAATAAAGAAAAAAAATCGACGAAGATTCTATTTAGTTATCAGAGTTGGGAAGATCCTTGAAAATTTAAATATATATTCTATATAAAAAATGTATCGTATATAGATACGATTGTTTTATTAAAAATGGGTTCCATGTCAATTCAGCGAAACTTTAATCGCGAATGTCGTTTATCGCGAATTAATTTTATAGCAAAAAAAATATCGCGAATCCACATTAACGAGTATTTTTCCGCGAAAACAATATAGCGAATTTTTTATAGCGAAATCTCATCGCGAAACCTTTAAAGCGAATACATTAGAGCGAAATTTTTATCGCGAATCAATAATCGAAAATTTTATAGCGAAGTCAATCTCGCGAAACATAAAATGCGAAGACAATATAGCGAAAACTATTTCGAGAAATATAACGCGGCCTATCAGTGGCGTATCCAGGATTTTCTTATAGGGGGGGGGGGGAGAATTTTTCTTGGGGCTTCGCCCCCAAACCCCTTCCAGCTTTCTCCCGGCCTTCGGCCGGGTCTTATGTTCTAGCTATTCTATTAAATTATTCATAATTTAATAATATTTTTAACTATTATTTACTAATTCGTGCTTATGGATATTACAAGTCTATTTTTTATTATTTGTTAGGTATATTATATTTAATAAAGTTTTTTTAAATGTAAAGTTGACATAAAGTTTAATGACATTTTTTTTATAAAATTTGCTTTAAAAACTAGCCTCAGCTTAAATTCTCATACAATATAAGTAGAATATAATTTTTTTATTGAAAATACTAATAGTAGTGTGTATAAAATATTGACTAAAAAATATTT